CGACGGCCACCCCCCCGGCCGGCCAGCTCACCCCTGCCCCACCTCCTCCCCGAGCACGCTGTCGGTGCTTCACTTCTCCTCAGCTGATTGGCACCACAAGCCTGGGAGGCGGGAGAAGTGAAGCAGCCACGGTGTGCTCGGGGAGGAGGCGGGGCGGGGGTGAGCTGGGGTGGGGAGTTCCCCTGCGTGCCGCCCCCCCCCTTGCTGCAGGCGGCCCTCCCCGCGCTCCACTGCCCCAGCTCCCTCCGCCTAAATGCCGGCAGTGACCGGGGCGGCCAAAGATCTGGCCGCCGTGGTCGCTGCCGAAGAAAATGGCGCCCCCCAAATCCTAGCGCTGGTCGCCTAAATGTTTGCACCGGCCCTGAATACAGGAGAAAAGCAGAGAGGAGGAAAGAAAGCCATGAGGTCTCAGGGAGTCAAACCTTGTTAACAGTTCCAAGGCTACTGATGGCCCTGCGGCTACTACCTTTTCTTCCTAGGAGAATCTGGGCTATGCTTCTATACCCCCAAATTCTGAATGATAGCTCTTTGTATTTCATTGCCTATTTGGAAAATGTTCTCAAATATGTTCTAGTGTTTATCATTTTATAGTAAATAATAACATATCAAATTATTTGCTCCGACTAGGCAGGTGAAAAATTAGCACAGTTTATTTTTAATTATGGCTAAAATGTAAAGGTTACACAGATTTTTCAGTTGCACTAGATATTAGTTCTAGTATAAGTGGAAGCTTCAGACATGTATGCTGACTTATCAGTGAGCCTTTCCTGATTAATTATCATTAGTCCTAGCTTTAGGTTTGGAAGGGTCCTATGCTAAACTCTATGAAGATGTCTCCTCACACCCTCAGTATCTCTCACATATTGCTTTTTGCCTGCTTAAGGCTGCCATTGATTGGTACAGTGTACTGCTTTGTTACCTGTGGCTTTTTTCAAAGCTGAAGTATACTTCAGAGCTGTAACAGGTTAAGTATATATGCTTATTCTAAGTACAAAAATGTCTCTGATCATGAATCCGAGACACTTAAAAGTTAATATATTCTGTTTAAATTTTGGGTACTGATGCTACCTACACACTTGCTATTTTAAAGTTGCATGTATTTGATACATTGTTGAACTGTTTAAAATAGATATTTAAAATAGGCTATGATGGAAGAAGGACAGAAGGCACTGAATATGGTTTTAATTAGGCCACAACTTTATTCTTAAATATCTGAGTGTTCCCTTCAGATAAAATTGTACAGTGCAGGTAATGCCATAATTCTTTCCATATACTTGGGGGGCTATCATCAGCCCTCCCCCACATCCCGGTCCCAGACAACCCACTGCTGGGACTCTGCCACCCTTCCCCGCAGAGAGTTAAGGGGAACTATAAAGGAGAGGGGTTGCCTTCCCATCATACCAGTCATAGCCCCAAGCCCTTTCTCTACTTCTTTAAAGAATGCCTCCTTTAAATCCTTTACCAGTCCATTTTATCTGAGCCATATGTCATGCTCTCTGGAGTGGCTCCCACCTCTGAGTGCCTACCTCAGGGCAGACTGTCGGAAAACAGGGCAGATGCCCTAAACCTAGTGTCTATATTCTATAATTAGATTTCACCAAACCAGTAACAAATGTGAACTCCTGGATCACTATACCTGTCTTACCACGGAGTCACAAACAGTCCCCTCA